TCAGGTGGGAAGGCCTGGGCAGCAGTCAGCTCGTCGTGTGTAGAATAATGCTGGGAGAAGGGTCTGGGGCTAGCCTTTTCATCACAGCAATCCACCACGGAAGATGATGATGACGAGAAAGATTTGCATAGCTTCACACAGGAAGATTTGCGAGGCAAAGAAGCTGTCTGAATGGAGCAAAGAAGAGCTACACCACTGGCACTCTGTTGACGATGAATGCCCAACATATGAGCACTTGACGGATGCTGAGATTGTCCGTAATGTAACTATAGCACCGATGGAGGCTAGTATACCGGTTCTCGAGCCACAAGAAGAGGATAATGAAGAGCCACCATCACCAAAAGTGTCTGAAGCCATCGACCACCTTGAGGCTAGCCTTCGTTGGCTGGAAACTCAGGAGGTGGACCACATAAAAATCCTCCAACTCAGAAGCATTCTAGATTTCACTCGCAACCAGAGACATGCTACGTTCAATCAAGGAACACTCGATCAGTTTTTTAAGAAATAAACTGGAAATGATGATTGCTAATATTCTTGAATGTTTTTATTTGTTGTTTTGTTTATTAAAAAGCCTACTAAAAATAATTTGTTTTAATTTCTACTGTAACAACAACGATTCATTCGCAAAATTCTTTAATTCAGAGGTAATTTACTAACCAGAAAGGGGACGTGTAAAAAACTAGTCAAAGAGGGCAAAAAAAAAAAGAAGGTGTTTTAGGATGTTAGGACAATATTGGGTCAGTTTGAACAGTGATTTTCTTGAACCCCGATTTAGCGAGACCCCACTTGTTTCACGATGACATTTTATGGACCCCAATGATCACGTTATAACGGGGCTACACTGTATATTTTTCCTACTGCTGCATACTCATTTCTCAAAAGTAATCACACCTAAATATTGATATTTTAATACTGGTCTCTAACTGAAATATATAAGTTCTGTTCAATAACAATTCACATTAATGTCATGATAATTATAGATCCGAATAAAGAAAATTCTTTTAAAGACATATTCACAAGCATCTTTTAATTAGATGATTTAGAATGTATGTTGTCATGTAACAATTTATTGTACTTCTGTTGTTTTCCACATTTGAGGATTTCTTTTGGTTTAAGTGCATTTGAGCTAAGGATAAGAAGTAAATGGGAATAATAATAACACAGCAAAAAGTGTATACAAAGATTTTTCATACACAACTGTGAAACTTTATGGATTAATACAGTT